AACAAAGAAGAATCACTGGTAGTGGGAAAATATGGCCTTGGTGTGATAGAAATAATCCTGGAGATCGCATGATGGAATTTTGCAAGATCAGCAATGACTTATTCACTACAAATACCTTTTTTCAACAACATAGATGGCAGCTATACATGTGGACTTCACCAGATGGAGTACACACGAATCAGATGGACTACATCTGTGGAAAGAGGTGATGGGAAAGCTCAATATCTTCAGCCAAAACCAGGCCAGGAGCTGACTGTGGAACACACCATCAGTTGCTCATTTGCAAGTTCAAGTTGACGCTAAAGACAATTAAAACAAGTCCATGAGAGGCAAAATATGACCTTGAATGTATCCCACCTGATTTGAGACCATCTGAAGAATAGATTTGATGCATTGAACACCAGGGACCAAAAACCATAAGAACTGTGGGATGACATCAGGAACATCATCCATGAAGAAAGTAAGAGGTCATTAAAAAGACAGGAAAGGAAGAAAAGACCAAAATGAGTGTCAGAAGAGTCTCTGAATTTGCTCTTGAACAGAGTATCTAAAGCAAATGGGAGAAGTGACAAGATAAAAGAGCTGAGCAGATTTCAAAGAGCAGCTCGAGAAGACAAAGTCTATTATTATAATGAAATGAGCAATAACCTGGAGTTAGAAAGCCAAAAGGGAAAAACACACTTGGCATTTCTCAAGCTGAAAGAACTGAAGAAAAAAGCCTCAAGTTTGTAGTATTGAAAGATTCTATGGGCAAATATGGGCATCAGAAGATGTAAAGGATACATAGTCACTGTGCAAAAAAGAATTGGTCAGTGTTCATCTGTTCCAGGAGATGGCATATGATGAAGAGCCAGTGGTATGAGGAGGAAGTCGCAGCTGCACTAAAGGAATCGGCAAAAAACAAGGCTCCAGGAATTGCTGGAATACTCCCTGAGCTGTTTCAGCAAACGGATGCTGTGCAGGAGGCACTTCTCATCTATGCTAAGAGATTTGGAAGACAACTGACTGGAAGAGATCCATATGTGTACCCATTCCAAAGAAAGGGGATCCCACAGGACGTGGATGTTATTGAACAATATCATTAATATCACACACAAGTAAAATTTTGCTGAAGATAATTCAAAACCAATTGCAGCAGTGTATTGACAGGGAACTTTCAGAAATGCAAGCTTGATTCAGAAGAGGACATGGAACAAGGGATATCATTACTGATGTCAGATGGATCTTGGCTGAATGCACAGAATACCAGAGAGATGTTTACTTGTGTTTTATTGACTATGTAAAAGCATTTGATTGTGTGGGTTATAACAAATTATGGATAACAATGAGAAGAATGGAAATTCAGAACATTTAATTTTACTCATAAGGAACTTAGACCAGGAGGCTGTCATTGAAACAGAACAAGGGGATACTGCATGGTTTAAAATCAGAAAGGGAGTACATCAGGGTTGTATCCTTTCACTGTACTTATTCAGTCTGTATACTGAACAAATAATCTGCAAAGCAGGGCTATACAAGCAAGAATGCAGCATCAAGATTGGAGGAAGACTCATTAAAAACCTGAGATACGCAGGCAACACAACCTTGCTTGCTAAAAGTGAAGATGACATGAAGCACTTACTGATAAGATTAAAGGCTGTAGTCTGCGATATGAAATTATACCTCATTGTAAACATAATCTTTTATTTTCCTCCTAGTGGTTGTTTTTGTTTTGTTTTTTAAATTTTGTAATTTGGGTGGAAGTTTATAGGGCAAGTTCACTTTCCATACAGCATCTCACATATACTTTGTCTCATGACATTGACTGTAATCTCCACAGTGTGACAGCTCCCCTCCCACTTCCTCCCCATAGTTACCTCTTCCCTGTGTCCTTCCCTCCCATGCACTCCTGCCCCCCAAGCTGTCTCCTTGTGCATACACAGCCCTTCTATTCTCCCATGATTTCTCTCTCTCCAAGGAGTGTAAACATTACCTAATGTAAACGTTCAGCTCATAAGCGTTTTGTTTGGCTGGAAGCCACAGGAATGAGTTCAATTTCAGACC